ACCCCAGACAGAGCCTTATGTTAAAGTAGCTCCATTCCATCCTGGCCACATCTCCATTTGGCTCTGGGCACTTGTTCTGCTGTGTGCTATCGTGGTGGGACATAGCAGGTACTATACAAAATGTGGATGCTACCTGTGTCTTGTTCTTGCTTCACTGGTTTGACTGAAGTGACTTTTACAAATTGGAATTTTTTTTTTCTGGTGAGGCAGTTGGGGTCAAGTGACTTGCCCAGAGTCACACAGCTAGTGAGTGTTATGTATCTGAGGCCAGATTTGAACTCGGGTCCTCCTGACTTCAGGGCCGGTGCTTTATCTGCGGCACCACCTAGCTGCCCCACAAATAGGATTTTCTGAAGAAAGGATGGGGAGGTAGTTGTTGATACCAGGTTGGGAGAGATGTCACCCTCTTGTCTTCAGGTTTTCATCTAATCATCCACATATTTATTAAGTGCCTGCTGTGTTGGACCCTATACTAAGCACTGGGGATAAAAAAACAAAGATTGAACAGTACGTATCCTTGTGGAGCTTACATTCTAGTAAGGGAGATAATACACGCATGTATCAGTATATACAGAACATACATGTACATACACACACAATAAATCAAGATAGTGGGGGGTAGGCACTAGGAGCTGAGGAAATCAGAAGGTGGCACTTGAAAAGAGTTTGAAGGAAACTAGGAATTTCAGGAGGCACAGGGAAAGAGGCAGTATAGTATAGGCATACATAGGCAACAGCCAGGGCAGAAGCTGGAGGTCAGGGAGAAGTGGCCTGTAGGCCAGTGTACCTGGACTGATGGCTCAACCATGGAGGGGGGTGTGTGTAGAAGGAACATGTGGGAAGACAGGAAAGGTAGAAAGGGGCCAGGCTGGGAGGAGCTTTAAATGGCAGAAGAGTTTATAGAGGGTATTCAAAAAACCTTAGTGTGGTCTGAAGCTTTAATAAGCTTTAAAGGTGCATTAATCCTGTTGGAATGCTCTACGTTGGATCCTAGAGGTAAGAGGAGCCATTAGAGTTTGAAATGGTTAGACTTGAGATTTTGGAAAATCCCTTTGGTGGCCATGGGGAAGATGGAGTGGAGTGGGGAAGGACCTGAGGCAGGGAACCCAACTAGGAGGCTCTTGAAGAGTCCAGGTGAGAGGTGATGAAGGCCTGAGCTAGGAAGGTAGCTATGTGAGTGGAAACAAAGAATCTGATGTGGAAGGAATGGTGGGCTAGATTAGATAAGATTTGGCAGCTGACTGGATAGGTGGGATGAGAGAGAGTCCTGTTGATTATACTTTCAAACATCTCTTGTCTGTACTCCCTTCTGTACTGACACGGCAGCCTTGTTGGGCCAAGCCCTTGTGTCCTCACCCCCTATGCTAGCTTCTCAGTGTTCTTGCATCTCACTCACCCCAGTGTACTGTTCAACCCAGGGACATCGTCCTCCTTGCTGTTTGTCTCACAAGATACTCTGTCTTCAGATTTGGGCATTTTCACTGCTGGTTGTCCTCGGTGTCTGGAATGTACTTCCTACTCATCTGTATCTCTTGGCTTCCCTGGCTTCTTTCAAGTCCCAACTAAAATCCCACCTTCTACAGGAAGCCTTTCCTGGTTCCCTCTTAATGCTAGTGCCTTTCCTTTTTTGATTTGTCTCCAATTTACTCTGTATAAAACTTGTTTGTATATAGTTGTTTGCATGTTCTGTCCCCTGTTAGACTATGAGCTCCTTGAGAGACTGTTTGTTTTGTTTTTAACCTTTCTTTGTATCGTCTTTGCTTAGCACAGTACCTGGAACATAGTAGATGTTTATTGATGGACTAGACTGACTGACAAGAATGGTCACTTCATAAGAGCTTGGAGTAAAGGTAGAAATAACTAGGGACATGTCAAAGGATTGTGAGATGAAGAGGGAGATTGTAGTGAAAGCCTTCATTTTTTTTTTTTCAGTAAAGTGTGAGGTGTGGTCCTCAGTTAAGAGGCAGGGTTTTGGGGGTGCTGTGGGAAGCTTGGGAGAGAAGGGAAGGTTTAGAACAGCCTCTATGGTAAGTGGGATTGGAGACGTCATTAGGGATGAGTAAAGGGACTACCTTGCTGCATTGAGGGTTCTGAGGAGATTAGCATAATAGCCTTGGTAAGCATGGTTACATGACTTCTTCTGGTTCCATTTCTCTTCTGGAGGAAGTAGATGGTAGAAGCAGTTCAAGGTTGGAGTTAGGCAAGATGTGAGTAGTGATAGCATAAGGGATCAAAGCACTTGAGAGTAGAGGATAAGATGATGTTGAACTCACTGAAGTGTCTGGATTGGGAAGGGCATAGAGAGTGGTCAGAGAAGAGATGATGGCCTGGGAAAGTACTCCAGGGAGGCTGGACTGGAAGGTCAGTTGAGGATGAAGAATAGGTTTAAGAAAAGTATGGCCCAAATAGGAGATCATAATTGGATAAAGGCATTTCTGAGTTCTTGTTTGGGGAGGGACCATTGAATTAGTAGGTGCCATGAAATTTCTCCTTAGAAAAGCATTTCCAAACTGAGCTCAGAACCCTGCTCTTCTGCCAGATAGATCAATGTGAATAGATAGGTGTGCTGAGGGAATTTTGGTCCTAAAGGAGCATGGACATTAAGGAACCAAATAAAACCCATATGAGCTAGAGAGTAGCAACCATGTAAGTGCTGAGTTTGTGTGGAGGAACCTGTGAAGTTAGGATGCCCTCATTCTGCCTTTAGTGTGAAAGTGATGCCCTCTGTGCATGCAGTAGCTCAGGCCCCAGCCACCTTACACTGTGACATCATTCAGTCTACTCTGCCCTCCGCACTTCCTCCGCTGAGTCCTCATCCCACACAAACCATTGTCTTCTACTATTCCTTCTTATGCCATGTGAGAGACTTGGGGGCCAATCCATCCCATCATGTTCCATCTTTGTCCTCCCCTTCTGCCACACAAATTTTGTATCTTACGTGGAACATGGATTCCCCTCATACTGTTCGTGTCTGACACATACAGATTCCTTACTGGCTTCTTCTATATTGTGTAGATATTCTCTCATATTACCCAGTGTTTGACACTTACCCTATACCATCCCACACCAAACCGTATTTCTGCATTTGTGCCATAGACACCCTTATGGTGTGAATGAAACATGTGCATTCCCCACCCCAGCCTCATGTCTGATATATACCCTCTATCATCTCACTTCTTACTTTATATCTGATCATGCAGTTCTCCCCTCGGTTTCAGGACAAATATATAACCATCTCTCTTCACATTGTGTCCCCTGTTGCCTTTATCTTGTTCCCACATTTTCTGCACCTCCTTCTATTTTTGGTGTATTACCAGTTTTCCAGATGAGAATTTATGGATTCTGTGTGTTCTAAAGTATGGTCAAATTAGTTTGGAAAAGTGATCCATAGCTACCTCCTCATGGTGCAGATGGGGAAATTGGAGACTGGGAAGGGAAGTGACTTCTCTTGTTGACATGGTAAATCACTGGTGGATCCAGGACTAGAGACCAGGTTTTCTGATCTTAACTCTCTTGTTCCTTCCATTTTAACCGTACTCCCCTTGCCAGATTCCATTTTCTAGCTCTAGTTTTCCTTTAATTCTTTTTGTCTTATTTTACCTCATTTTGGTAAAAATAAAATTGATTTAAGAAATAGCTAGATGCCTCTCTGTCGTCTAACCTTCAGTGCTTTGAGGATGAGGCAAGTTTTTGGAGGCTCATCACTTTGTTACCCATGCCTTACATAGTGTAGTATTTCTTGAGTGGCTGTGGCAAATGTTCGGCTTGCCGCCAGGCACGATTCCTAGTGTTCCTAGTGCTTGGTGTGGATTTTAAAGATATAAATAACTCATTATGTAAAGTACTAAATGTTCTCACCATTGAGCATGCTCAGTCACATGTTTTTACATTCCCTAAACACTTAAACTTCAGCAAATTGGCTTAGTGTTTGAGTAGCTGTTTTTAGTGTAACTTTGGCTTTAGAAAGAGTAGTTTCATATCTGAATATATTTGATGAATCCAGGGAAAGCTATTCCTAAGGGGTTCCAGTTATACTGGATTGTAGTGGTGTATACTAGCATGGTCTTTGGAGATAGGCTCAAAAAGTCAGTCAGCTACCAGCAGCGTTTCCTTCCAAGTTTGTCCCTTGATTTCGAGCATCACAGAAATGGCTACAAGCCTCATTGGATGAGAGAGCTGCAGTGTTTTGATTTGTAGTTGACATTTTAGTGGAAATTTAATCACAGTTGTCTGAAGAGTCCTAATATTAGTGCATATTTTTAGATGATAGCAAAAGCGTCTTTAGATACTCAATAGTTAATTTTGCTTTTTTCAGGTTGCTTAAAGCAGAGACCCAGTGAGACCATGGTAGGCTATATACTCAATCCCTTTTTGGCCCGTCCTAACCCTGGCCAGCAGCCACCAGTGTTCTTGGTCACATGGGAGGCAGGGGCCAAGGTTGACCTTTCAACACATGTTACTGCTGCTTCTAGCCATACAACTTAAAATTCAGTTTTTTTCTAATGGTCAGGAGTGTCACGTCTATACATATAGGCTGCCCTATTTTATATTTGTTTGCCCCTGAGGTATTTTAGCCATCTCAAACTTGTTATGATAATTGATAACATCATAATAGGACAGTTAAAGGAGTTATTCTTGACTCTGAAATCTCCCTTCCCTTCTTATTCAATGACCTGCCAAGTCCTGTTGAATCTTCCTTTAAAGTGTCTCTTATATTTGTCCCATCTTTTCCTTTGTCCCTACTTTGAATCTTTATTTACTCATACCTGAATGTTTGTGAGTATCTTAGAACTCATTTCCCTATCATAACTCTGCTCATCCATCTCACTTTTCTTATACACCACTGTCCTCTTTATATTTTCTCATTCGTTTGGGACTCAAGGCCTCCTCAGCCTGCCCTGAACTGATCTCTCCAGTCGTATGGCCCATTTCCCTTCTGGGTGTATATCATCCTCTGATCCTCAGAGTGAGGGTTCTGACTTGGATTTTCTTCTTCCTAGTGCACAGTGCCGTGGTAAATGCCCTTTCCTTTCACCCATCCGGAAACTACCTGATCACAGCTTCCAGTGATTCAACACTGAAGATTCTAGACTTGATGGAAGGCAGGTTGTTATATACTCTTCATGGCCATCTGGTGAGTTCCATAAAGAAACACTTCAATGTCTCTGTAGATCCAGGGCCTTAAAGAAATTAGTCCAGACCTAAAATAGTCTCAAGCAGCAGGATGCAGCATGGAAAAATATTTTCTCTGGCCACATTCTTGGTCCTTCTGTTGAACGGCATGGAGTGGCAGGTCGGAGAGAAAAGGTCTGGAGCGTCCTCAAGGATGTGGGCTGCAGGCCCTTAGAGAGCCTATGGGTCAGCCATGTGGGCAGAAAGATCTGCTGGCGAAAGGCTTGGGGAGGCAGGGTTTAAGAAGTGACAAGGCTCAGGGCAGTCTTGTGACTTAGGGGATACCCCTCTGTTCTGGTAAGAAACCTTAGTTATGTTGAAAAGCCACATAGCCTAACAGGTGAAGCATTGGAAGTGGAGTCAGGAAGGCTTTGGTTTGGTGGTAGGATAATGGTTGTCAGTCTGTCTATAAAATGGGGATAATGGGGCAGCTAGGTGGTGCAGTGGATAGAGCTCCGACCTTGGAGTCAGGAGGACCTGAGTTCAAATGTGGCTTCAGACACTTGACACTTTACTAGCTGTGTGACCCTGGGCAAGTTACTTAATCCCAATTGCCTCACCAAAAAGCAATAAACAAACAAATAAATAAATAAATAAAGCAAACGGGGATAATCTCTGTAGACCTTGGCTCACAGGGTTGTAGTGAGGCTCACATGAAGGAAAGCATGTGTGAAGTGCCTGGCAAACTTGAAAGGCAGCGATGGTATTCCACTTTGAATATCCTCAGAGAATGCTGTGCCTTTGCTGCTGCCTCTGAGCTTTATTGATATAGTGCCCTAACCAGCTGTAATCTTAAACACATTCTGTCCCTTCTGTCCACATTTTCTGGGAGAAGAGAAAAACTATGCTTTTTAGGAGTGGTGACGGCACATACCATTCTGGGCCTCCTGAGGCAAATCATTCAGAAATCTTTTTTCAGCTTTCCTTTTTTTGCTCTTCGCCAGATTGTCTCTGAAGTTGAGCTCTGAAGTTACCTCCTGCTCTTTGAGAGCTTCCAAGCTGTCTGTCCAAAGAACCTTCTGAACTTTCTAGAGGAGCCAGGACCACTAAGACCTGCTGTTGGTCAATGGCAAAACATTTTATTTGTGGGGTGGGAGATTTGTTGCCTGATGAATTTGCTTCTCAAAGAGAGGATTTCCTGTGTGGATAGGATGTCTGCCTCTGTGTCTCTGTTTCATGTGTTAATATTGTAATTACTGTGTAGGGGTACTTGGCAACCTGGTCTAGTGGGAAAAAAAACCAAAAACAAACAACCTTGGTTTTAGATTCAGGAGTTCTGGGTTCAAGTTTTGATGCTGTCACTCTCTAGTTATATATCCCTGGATATAGAATATACCTTCTGAGCCTCTAGTGCACAGTGAGCCTCTCTGAGCCTCAATTTCCTTTGTCTGCAAAATGGGGATAATAATAATGGTTCTCTCTGCCTTGCAGGGTTGTTGGGGTGAGGCTCAGATGGATAATGGATATAAAGCAGTCAGTGATTGTGAAGCACTATACAGATAAAGCTGCTCTCAACACCCCTCAGCCACAGCTCTCTGCATGATCTCTTCCCTTTCTCCACCACTTTGTGTCACAGCCAATTGGCTGTTGGCTCTAGGGATTAGCATTTCATTACTTTTTCTTTACCAGTGAAAGTGAATGTTGGGCAGCTAAGGCTTTCCATCCCTGGATCTTGCCTAGCACTACCCCGGGCCCCGTGCTGTCTGGCCATGAAGGCAGCAGGCGGCTTCTTGCCGCTTCTTTTCAATGTGCCGGGGTCTTCTGGAGGCAGGAGAGCCTGTCTCCTACCAACTGCTGACCTCTCTCTGGTTCGGGCTAGGCTGTGTTCCAGTGACCTTTGAAACAGTATAAAAGCCTCCAGGTGACCTCTGGGGGAGAGTTTCTTATGTGTAGGAAAGAAATATATATATATGAAAAAGGGGCCGGCATCAGGCTTTTTTAAGGGATAGTTCTTTCTGTCTCAAGCAGTTCCTCTTATTGGTGGCAATATGGTATAGTGACAAGAGCACTGTACTCTCAGGTTCCGATCCAGCTCTTCTCCTTCCTGGCTGGGTGACTCTAAATGAGTCCCCTAGCTTGGCTCAGCCTCCGTTTGCTTATCTGGAAAATGGATGTCATCATCTTTGTACTGCTAGTTTCACATAGAGGGCCGTGCTAACTGGTGTGATAGAAGGGCAGTCTACAAAGATTTATTAAGCACCTGCCGTGTGCCCGACACTAAACCCTGGGGATACAAAAAGACAGCAACAGAACAAAAAGTCCCTGCTCTCATGGAGCCCGCATGGAGCTCTCATGGGGGAGAAAACAGGCAAACAACCATATACGAACAATTGTAAATTGGAGATAATCAACAGAGAAAAGCCACTAGCATTAAGGGGGACCCAGGAGAGGCTTCTTGTAGAAGGTGGGATTTTAAGTGGGACTTGAAGGAAACCAGGAGGCAGAGCATTACAGACATAGGGGATAGCCAGCCGGTGCAAATACCCAGATTCTGGAGATATGGAGTATCTTGTGAAAGGGACAGCAAGGAGGATGATGTCACTCTATTGCAGAGAGAAGTCAGATGTAAGAATACTGGAAGCTAGGAGGAGGTCAGGTCTGAAGAGTTTTCTGTTTGATTCTGAAGGTGCTACAGAGCCATTGGAGTTTCTTGAATTGGGAGTGGGAGCTGGGGTTGGACTGGTCAGACTTGTGCTATAGGAAGATTGGGTAGACCCCTGAATAGAGGAGAGGAGAGACTGGAAGTTGGGAGAGCAACCAACCAGCAGTCTATTGCAGGTTTGGGTGTGAGAAGATGAGAATCTGGACCAGGGGAATGACAGGGTCAGAGAGGGGAAGGGGCAGAAAGAAGAGCTGTTTTGAAGGTATGATCACTAGATTGGCTGTGGGGGGTGAGAGTGAGGAGTTGATGAACTTGGTGTTGAGCCTGTAGGACAGGGAAGATTGTGGTGCCCTTGACACTAATAAGGAAGTTCAGAAGGGGGAAGATTTTAGGGGAAAAGATAGTGAGTTCAGCTTTAGACCTGCTGAGTTTAAAATGTCTGTTGGGATCAGCATCAGCATAACTTACGGCAGCTTCAGTCTTTTTTAAGAGACAGTTCTTTCTGTCTCAAGCATTTCCTCTTGTTGGCCACTGTACTCTGAGGTTCAAATCCTGCTCTTCTCCTTCCTGGCTGGGTAACTCTAGATGAGATACCTAGCCTGGCTCAGCCTCAGGCTCTCCTGACTCCAGAAGACCCTGGCACGTTGAACAGAAATAGCAAGAAGCTGCCTGCTGCCTTCATGGCCAGACAGCAGGGGCCCTGGAGTAGCTTCAGGCAAGACCCAGTTTAAGATGTCCACTAGGTAATTGCCAGTGTGGAACGGAGGTCAGGGGAGAGGTGAAGGCTGGGTAAGCAGATCTGAGAATCATCTGTTAGGTCTATAGGAACTAATGAGCTCACCAAGTAATATAGTACAGAGAAAGAATAGCAGAGGACCTGGACAGAGCCTTGGGGGACCCCAAAGCTACTGGGAAAGACCTGGCTGAAGAGGCAGCAAAGGAGACTGAGAAGGAGCTATTAGACAGGTGGGAGGGAGTGTCATGAAACCCTAGAACCCCTCTGAATTTGGAGACAGAGAACCTGGGTTGAAATCCTCACTCTCTTCTTTACCAGCTGTGTGGCCTTGGGTAAGTCACTTAATTTCTCTGGGCCTTAGTTTCTTTATCTTGGAAGGGAAGGAAAGGGGAAGGAAATAAACATTTACATAGCACCTACTGTGTGCCAGGCACTGATTCTCACAACCACCCTCAGAGGTAGGTGCTGTTATCATCCTCATTTTATGATTGAGGAAACTAAGGCAAAGAGAGGTTTAAGTGACTTGCCCAGGGTCATACAGCTAGTAATTGTCTGAGGTGAAATTTAAACCCAGATCTTCCTGACTCCAGGCCTGGTACTCTACCTACCACTGCCTAGTTGCCTCTTTGAAATAAAGATATTGGGCTAGATCAGGGGTGGGGAACCTGCAGCCTCAAGGCCACATATGATCCTCCACACCCTCAAGTGCGGCCCTTTGACTGAATTCAAGTTTCACAGTACAAACCCCTTTAATAAAAGGATTTGTTCTGTAAAACTTGGACTCAAGTTAAAGGGCACATGTGGCCTCGGGCCGCAGGTTTGTCTCCCCGGGCTAGATGACCTCTAAGATCTCTTGCAGCTCCAAATCTGGGATTCCATATAAAGGCAAGCTGTTATTATGATTGTACCTTTGCCTTGGTAGCTAATTATGCTAAAAATTATGTGGCATACTAACGTGTGAATTTGGGAACAGGTGTGGCCCTTTTCCAATTGGAAAAACAAACAAACAAACTAAAACCCCCAAACCCAAAGAAAAATACTTACCAACCAGATCAATCAGACAGCAGTTGTTTGAATCACAAAAGGTTTCCTACCCCTTATAGCCTTCCTTTAACTAGGATACCGTCATAATGCTTTTAGAGTTCCACACTTCTCCCTGGCCTTCTGGTCTTCAGAAACACCTGGATTCTATAAGTTTGAGATACAGGGGGACCTTCTCTGAAAAGTAGCAGAGAGATCTGGAACCAGACCTGTTGCATGTGCTTGGCAAACACTGGAAAGTACCCCTTTCAAATGAGTGAAATTTTTTAAGAAGAGTTTTTTTAAAATCACTTCTCCTTGTGTGATAACCAGCTTACCTCGTGTCACTTGAGAGTTGGAAGGGGCTTCTATAGCTGCGTAACCTCTTCAACACGGCCAGTAACTGGTCAGAAAGCCTTGGCCTGAAGTCCTCCATGGAGGGAGCTATTTCCTGTGGCAGGCCATTCCCCCAGCTCCAGGACCTCAGAACTTATTCCTGACATCAAACCTTCTTTTGCTTCTTTGCGACTTCGACCCAGTGCTCCTTGTTCTATCCCGTCTTCTACATAAAAGCCCCTGTTAAATACAGGGCCATGGTTCTCTG